TCTTCCCGCAAGCCTCCTTTGGTTTATTAGCAACTCTTTCAGCAGAAAAAAAAAATGGCCTTGTTCGTGATTTGTTCTCAAACGAGTTAAGTTCACACCTGTGAACTTTGGCTTCTTACTAATCTAGTAAGAAGGAGAAATAAACAGTTAGAAGTTCGTTTCTCCTTCTAACCAGATTAGACTTCAAGAGCATAACAATACAGACTCAGGATAACGAAGTATTCACAGTATTCTATGAGGCTGATCTGAACAAGTACTTGAACAAAAAGCAATATTGTTGTAATAGGGATGTGTTTACACAGGAGGCTGTTCCTACCATTTAGAGACAATTGTTGATGTGTTTAAGGATAATATATAGTCATGTCTGTAATTGTCTTTTTCTAATCGGGAAAAAAAATAGCTGAAGCAGAAGCATCAAGTTAGTGGTCATGTCTCGGTGCTGGCGTATCTTTCATCTTCCAGTGAAAATTTTTATCGTGAAAACAAAAAGACCATGTGATCAAGTGAAATGTAATAAAGATTACAGGGTACTGGCCGGGGCAGTAAATACATAGGGATGATCACCTTTTGACTTCTTATTAAAACACCAACAGAGGAGCACACCAAATGAGTAGCAAATACTCTTCAACCAACTGGCTCTGATACCTTTCACTTGAAGCCATCTTCTGGGGTCGGCCTGATTTTTCTCAGCTTTACATATAAGAACACTAAGACTCAGAGAGTTGAAACAACTTTCAACAGTCCTGTGCGGTCCCTCTGCCTTAGGGAGAGCTGTGTAGAAGGGACTGAATTGAAACAACAGCAGAAAGGGGGGGGGGGCAAATTAAAGCACTAAGGGAATGGTAAACAGATGAAGCAAGGAGAAAAGCTTCAGGTCTCACGAAGGTGTAAGTGTTTCAGCCAAATGCCTGGAGAAGGAGCAGTGCCTTATTCCGGGAGGCGCAAGAAGCATCTCAGAATAATCAGTCCTTCTACTGAAAGCCGCAAAGCAGGAGACAGAGCTGGCAAATTTGAAAACAGAACGCAAGGCAGGATGAGGAGTGCTTTAGGACTGAATGCAGCTTTGGGGGGCTCGGGCTGCGTGGACCACTCAATTTAAACAGTGATTAGATTGCTGGCCACGCCTCTCCTGCAGCTCAGATTACTCTAATCGTGGGAAGGACACAGTTTCCAGTGACTTTATTTAGCGTTTCCAAACTGAATGTAAGAATTTTTTTGCGTGCTCACTCCACGTGCATTCATGGTTCAGACTTGAGTTCCGCTTTTTAATTTCAAATAAATTTCTACCTAAGGAAATATGGTTAACTGTCTGCTCTAGTGAACTTCTACTGGAAAGATTACTACAGCATGCTGATGGCCTGGAGGAGCAAACAAATGAGTTCTAGAAACTCTGGATCAGTTTATTACAGCTTGGCTTTTCCTCGGATTTTTACATGCAAGTGATTTTTTTTTTTTAATGAAAGAATGGTGGTCTAAATATGCCCGGCAATCCAGTGAAATATTTTCAAGAGGCTAAAAGACAACAGTGAGATGTGGGAGTCCTTCCTAGTGCTTGTTTTATGTCTGTTTTCATTAATTAAATAAGCAGGACCCAAGTGTAAGGCAAAGGCACAAGCTGTTTACTTCGGCTCTAGCAGGACAGCTGGGTACAGTCATACTTACCACAAGAACCATAGCCCCGTTTCTGCCCTCCAGGAGCTCCCGTCAGGAGCCACCAGGGGGCAGCACATGACTATGCCACTCACCTTGCCTCCTCCAGTGAGACACTTGCATGGAACTGAATAGGAAAGACCACAGGGAGGGAAGCAGGGAAGAGAAAGATTAACAGTACCAATATTCACATCCATGTGGCTTTACGATCTTGCCCTTTACTGAGCAAGTGTGTCTCTTTAGTCCCTTTGGATCAGCAATCCAGGTCCCAAGAGTGGGAGAAGACTTCACCCAAAATCACCGCCCTTGGGCAGAACATGGGACTTGAAGAAAGAAATTCATTGAAATGGTAAATTTTTCATCCCAAGTTTACCATTTACACACGCTTCAGCCATGCAGATGTTACATGACCTCGAATTGACCTCGTTCCGTAAATTGGGAGCTGAGAACAGCATCCTACTGAAAGGTTGTCATGGGAATCAAATGATAGAGTACATGCCAACTAGTATGGACACTTTGGCTCATAATATTCAATAACACTATCATAACATTTGTAAAGTGTCATATGCTTTAGACAAAGTATAGCAAATTCCATTACATTTCAAGCATCAGGCAGTGCTAAATTCTCTATGTACAAGCAAAAAAAAAAAAAACAAAATTGTTTAGGATGGCAGCCTATCCCTTAACTCACAGAAGACTGGATTTCTAAACAGAAACCAGCTGACACATTGAATATAAAGAGGTATTTTAAACAACAAAGGTAATCAAAAGAATTTAACTCAAACTGGCAATGGTAGAGAAGGCACTGTTTTCTATACAATGTCACTTAAGGGGCAGGAATGATGGAAGAGAGAAAGGAAGAGATGAAGGGACAAAAATAATCTCCTGGAAAACACATATGCTCTAAGAAGGCCGCTTGTTTGTTTCCCGGCTGCCCAGCAGCTCAGACCTGAAATAATCACACAGAAGCTATATTATTTAAACCACTACTTGGCCCATTAGCTCTAGCTTCTCAATGGCTAACTCTTACATCTTAATCAACCCATCTCCATTAATCTGTGCATCACCCCGAGGTCGTGGTCCATCAGCAAAGTTTCAGCACGTCTGTCTCTGGCTTCTCCCTGACTCTGCCCTTCTCTTTTAGCATTCGGTTTCGTTTTCCCCACCTAGCTCTGTTGTACCCTACCAGGCAAAGCCAGTTTCTTAATTAATTAACCAAATACATTCACAGCATACAGAGGGGAAATTCCCCCACCACACATACATGCACACAAACAAAAAATTCTTTATCCATTCTATCACTGAGTAAAACAATACTCAGAAAGATAAAGGGGTTTCCAGAAGGTGGAATCCCTCAACTATTAGTGAGTGGCAAAGCCAGGTCTCAACAAATCTACCTCAAAGATACATTCTATACGAATCAAGTCATTGGGATACTAATATAATTCCTACTATCTTTCTTGTTTAGAAGGTAATCCTAATTGTCAAATTATTTTCCCTGTAACTTCACTTTTCTCTCTGAAAACTTTGACAAAGTGCCAACTTTCCTAAACTCCACCATCTGCTGGGAGTCACAAATGACTACAATGTATGTGCCAAGTTTACATTAGGAGGGCAGAAGTAGACATGGGAGAGTCCTCGCTGGAATATGCAGAAGTTCTATGATCATTCAAAAGTACTTAACGACACAGGATCTTAGTGGGGGGTCTTGTTTTTTGTTTTTGTTTTTACTTATGAAATAGAGCAAGAATAGTTTCTATCTCCTGAAATTGTCGCAATTCCATGTCAAAATCGACTGCACAGCACATATTAACCTTGCTAAATAAACATCCACTGGAAAACACCCTCCAGTCTACCTTAACTCCTCCAGTCTGACCAGAGATCTTCTAAGCCTCGTCATAAAAGCCAGCTTCAGAAGGATCCTGTAGATGCTCTTGTAAAAGAGCCAGAAGCTTGGATAACTTCACAGCCTGCAATCTAATTTTCCCATCATTCCTCAAGCTCCCGCGGTCCTGAGATGGCCGTGGTGATAATGTGGGTATCCAGTCACAACATGGCATGTGTTTTCTCTTTATTTCCAAAGCACATTCACATTCTTACCTTGTTGATTCTAAAACAACTGGTCAAGTTAGGGAGGGCAGGTGGTATTCCACAAGAAGGAAGAGGGAACACAGAATACAAGAGAGAATAACGTTAGCCGCTATCATTGCAAACCAGTTGTGCCCCGATCTTCTGTGTATATTAGCCTGTGTAAACTTCTTAGGAGCCCGTTCAAGTAGGTGTTACTACTTAATTTTCAGGAAAAAAAATGTGAGACTCGGGAAAGAAGGTCATATGTTCACATTCCTCCAGATATGTAGTGCAGGGGCTGGGACTCAAGTCTGAACCTGTCTTCCTCCAAAATCAAAAATCTCTATCACTGACTTATCAAAGAATTTCTCAAACTATTAGCCCCTAGCACCATATTATAATCTACAACTTCCAAATCATAGTCCAAGACGCCTCTCCACCTCCACCTCTCATTAAGCCTTTCATTCAGCCAGTTAGAATGGTTCAAGGTGCTGACACCACACTCATCTCTAGCTGAGTCACCGCCACATACAGCTGCTTGTCAGCTCACTGCTATCCCTAGGCTCCCATTCTTAGCTTTCCAGTCCATGTCTCAAATGTAGGATTCCTCTAATGCTGATAGGAGAAAAGTAAAAGGATAAAATAGACTGCACCCTTCTCTTTTATTAATTTATTAATTAATTAATTTGACAACTTCATAGGTAGATTGCATGATGACTCCTCTAATATCCTACCATCTCTTAACTCCCTCCCACCCCATCTACCTCTCTTCTTCCACGCACACACACACACACACACACACACACAAAAACTATTTCTTATATCTGTATCTATTTCTTGTGTTCTGTGACCCACTGAGTCTAACCAATGCCTTCCATGGAGCCACGATTTGGAACTCTCTTCTAGGTGACCATGAGTTTCGGACTATTTATTCAAGTCTGGTGGGGTCAACAGTGGGTTCAAAGGCAAAGAAAATGAGCCACTCCCAGCATCTGCCAATAGCCAAGAGTTCAGCAATAAGGGACAGGGACCCATGAGCCCTTCTCCCATCCCTGACAAATTGCGACAATTGGTCTTGTGAGCTCTCAGTGCAGGAAACTGCAGCGACACCGATGACCGCAACCGAAGTTCTTTCTTTGCAGTTGTGCAACCCCTGGGGCATAAGTATATCCTCACATCCAAGCTGCAACGGCATTTGAGCATCATCTCCTTCCGTGGAGACAATGTGCTTAGTCCTTATTTGAGATGATCTACAATTCTCTCTTGTCTTGTTTTAAAAGGAAAAGATGGTGAGAAAGGAGACACAGGAGAAGAAGGCAAGGATGGCAAAGTGGGACGCAGGGGACCAAAAGGTAGGCTAACCTGTCTGAAATGGCCATAGGCTAACCTGTCTGAAATGGCCATTCTAATGTGCAAACATTCATTTTCCCCAGTCCCTTGTCTTGGAAATTAGCAGTTTCACAATATTCTTCATCATATATATATA